CCATGACGCAGACTGGCGCAGAGCTCGACGTCATCGAGTGGCCACGGGTTCATATGGTTGACAGTTGTTTCACCTCTCCAAAGTCAGATGACAATGAGTTCGGTGTCTAATCCTGGTCGAACTTCATCTAAATAAGCTTAGTCAATGACGTGTTTTGCTGGATCATTTGCACAGCTTGGGTAACCATGTTAGTAAATGTTAGTAAATGGAGGCGGAAGAACGAATGACCTACGGACGATATACATGGGCCACAAGTGTCGCATGCAGTACCACTCAGGGGTTCAATTGGCATTCAGTCTGCCAGTGATGTGATGGAACGCAATTACGTAACTATCCCGTTACCATAAATTAGTACGGCTCATTGTCGAACTTCTACATATGGTACAATGCTGGCGCTCTCAAACTTGGCTAGCGCTCGTGCTGGATTCCTCGTCGTTCCACCTACGTTTAGTGTCCCTATGACCAAAAATACCGTGTGACGGTTTATCACCCGTGTCGGTCATCTGACACGATTCGACCTCCACGAATACCTATAAAGATGGTCTGGTTATTACCTGGATAGAGCAACGATATAATGCACCCACCTCCGGCTGCGTGCTTTGGGGCTGGAACACAACCGACTATTTATCGGAAGTGAGGCGACGCGTCAAAACAGCTCCATTTGGTTAAAAGTGCTCACCCTAGGATGATTGTTTCTCCCATAGCTTGCTTCGTTCTCTGACGATCTGTTGTCATATGACTCATATTTCCATGCTCCACGGGCGTTCAAAGTGGATAACATGCAGTTTATGTATAGCTTTGATAGTGCCATGCTGAATATCAGGTGGCTAGGAGAAGCATCGCCTGAGAAGGCTCGATGCAGCGCGTAGACGGAAATACTCACAAGCCCGAACTCTGTATTCAATGGACATGAGAGCTCTGCTCATATGATTGCATTGACGGAGAACATGACTTACAACGGTCAGATAGCACGTCAGGTCTACGATAGCTACGATGGTCGTCAGGACTCCAGTCTGTACAGTCACTGGATTGGCCATGGGGTCAGCAAATCTAGCCCCATCAATCACAACACCAATATTACATGACTCACTCCTTAGGATCCGATTGATGGTACTGATCAACACAGGATACAGATGTTTGCGTCTTTCCTAGGTACGCGGTTTTAACAGGACGAAATGTGCTGAGACACCACATATAAACACCCACCAGATACCATACAAGCGAAACAGCGATGATCGTATCAGCGAGAACTGCCCCGACCAACCATGTCAAAAGCTCAATTTTGAGGTTTAGTACCTTAGAAAGACTGGGGTTGGTGGCCAAACTGATCGAGGCAGCAAAGCAAGCTGCTACGCTGGCTAGGCTACATAGAACGATGGCTGCCACTGCAAACACGTTCTTGGTCAACACGTATACCCGCCATGCGAAGAAATGTTGTACGGCCCCGCCAATAACGCCCTGCAGAGATTATTAGGCGAGATGGGTGTAGACATGACTGGCAGGCCGAAGACTAACCGTCAAGGTAGAATCTGTAGTTGTGCACATGGAAGTCTTCGTTAGGTTGGGGGAAATAGGAATATCAGACATGGATGCGTACTAGCTGTGAATACTACCCTGGGCGTTAGAGAGGCCAGTTTTCACATAACATCATGGACTGACCCCAGCTACCAGCCAGAAGGCTCGCCTCATCGCCTACCCCAACAGGCCATCTACTTCAGCTCAGTATGTACACGCTAAGTAAGAATACACACCATAATGAGTGATTAGAACGTTGTAGGCATAATAAATATTGATGGCACAGTTGAGTGTCTCCGCCAAGTACAGGATCACTATGCTGGGTTTTGCGAGGGTGAAGGCATAAAATGGAAGAGAGAAATGAAACCAACAGTGACCTCAGCCATAGTGCATCACTATGGGCAGATATTGATCAGTCACTCTAGGTAGTTCATGGGCATGACACGCGCCTTTTGTAATTTGTGAAATATAAGTACACCTGCACTGTGGCGACACCGTGCAGGAAGACGTTTATAGTCAGCCCAATAAAGAACGGTCCTTGGCTACAGCCCGAACAAGAGCATCGGGAAGAAACATAAGTGGCAGACCAGTCGCGCGCTGCCCAGAGCAACTTACATTCTTTGTGCTAGACTCGCCGCCATGCCTTTTGATGTCTCCAAAGGTGCAGGGGGACGAGAACAAACCGGGAGCCGGTAAATTTTCGAGGGAAGGGAACTTTGTACATGGTCGAAATAATTTTTCAAGCCTCCCTGCTCTTTAAACTTTGCGGGCCCTGAGGCCTGAAGGCCTGACCCATTGAAATCGGATGACAGGCGCAAACGTTACAGGGGTTTTCAAATGTTCCGTCGCTGGTGGGAATTGCCGAAAAGACCTCGGCTAGGTTGGAAGTGGCAGTAGCTACTACTAGATTTTTGCACTATCATTTGGACTCTGACAGAACTGTAAAAGACTGTGGCGTACATACTTCCGGATCTTGTCACGGGTCAATATGCAGATGCGTTACGCCAAGTACATAGACACAATCAATCTCGTAAAGTCCCCCTCGCTATGACTTACGCTTGCCTTTCACCTTTTTACCTTCCTTCCCGACCACAGTGACACCCTTCCCAGACTTAACCAGACTTTTCAACGCTGCATCTTTTTGCTGTTTTACCCCCTTCTTCTTAGCGAACTTGTCCACACTCTTCTCGAGCAGGTCACGTTCTTTCTTCCTCGCCTTGCGTTGTTTCGTTCGCAACGCACGCTTCTCTGCTGGCGTGAGCTCGCTCCGTACACGAGGGTCTGACGATGCGGGCGCAAATATCTCCTCGGGAGCGAGTGTGCTCGATACAGACTTGTTGGTAGGTAGAGCAGACTCCAATGTCGCAGCAGCGACGTCAGATATAGTGGTTATGGTTACCTTTGGCTAGTTGCAAAAAAGGGGGGGAAATGGAATCGATTAGTTGCGAAGTGAAAAAAAATATTTAACAGCATCCCACACCTGCTTGGGGACGTAGTGTGCGTTGCACAAAGCATCGAGCTTGTTACATATGCCATCCCACAGCTTGGTAATCTCATCGTGTTCCTTCTTCAGTTTCGCGTCCCGGTTATCGGTAGTAGTATCTGCTTGAGCCGCCATGTACTCATTTTCATAAATCTGAGCCAGCGACTGCTGGGACTTGGTATCTTGCAGCTCGAACAAGCGAGACGGCAGGAACGGTTTATCGTCCAAAGGTCGTCGACGAACGACATCATCGAAACGACCCTCTTTGATACGTGCCTTGATGCGTTCCTCGAGCCCCGCCACCACCTCCTCAGTAACGATGGGCACGGATTTGGCTATTCGATCGAACTCCAGGTCTTCTTGGAGCAAAGAATCGCGTGGCCGGCTCTTGGAAGACGCCTCTCCCATAAGCACCCAGTCTTTTTTGGATACATTCTCAGTTTCGAACTGCTTAATTTGTTCCCGAAGCGCGGCCATTCGACGCTCGTGGGTGGTCAAGTCCGCGTCTGTGCAGAAGTATGAGCATAGTCAGTAGAACTTGTGTATCGTATTACTCGCCTTTTTGCTGTTCCTCGTCCTCCGCGAAGAGATCGTCCGTCATTCTTTTGATAGCTAGCCTGGTACCGTCCTCTGTTTCCACATCCTCTTCTTCCTCCTCGTCCTCCTCACCATGCTCAAGCACAAAATTTTCATCGTCATCGTCATCGTCATCGTCGTCATCTTCGTACATCATGGTTGACACGGGAAGTCCCTTCCCCCTTGCTTTTATCTTCTTAACCCTGACCTGATCGTCGAAGCGGACTTTGGGTGGTTTGGATGTACCCGTTATTGTCCGACGCGACTTCGATGATTTCGGAGCATCGAATAAATCCTTGTAAAAATACCCTGATCCACTTGTAAGCGCAACCGTGTACGGACTTAGTACAACACATACCTTCTTCCTCATCCACAGTATCATCTATTGCCTCGAACAAGTCGATATCTGACTCGGTTCCTGAATCTTCCGAGTCCGTATCACCATGCAACCGCCCTTTCGAAACAGATTTTGCTTCCGCTTGCTCTATTTCTGCGTTAAACTTCTGGAGATCGAAAAAGCCATCGTCGAGCTCGGAACGTGCTCCTGCCGTCGACGCAGGAGGCTTCTTGCGGATGACGTCAAACATCGAGGACGGCCGGTCGTCTTCTTCGTCCTCCTCCTCCTCTGAAGATTCTTCCTGCAGTTCAGCGACGTCCTCCTCGCCTGGCAGTGAACTGTCGTCCTCTTCATGGTCGTCTCCCGACTCTTCCAGCTCCGAGTCCACTTCTTCTTCGTCCTCACTTTCTTCCTCGTCAAATTCACTCTCTCTCCCTCTAGGTTTTCGTTTTCGTCCTCCCCATCTCCTTCCAAAATCTGCAGGTGTTCGCAAACCCTGGCCCCTCTCAGATCCAGCTGCTCCCAAATTTGTTCCATCGACATCTTGTCAACGAATAACGATGGTATTGGTGTTTCCAGCGGTAGTACCTTGTTCTTTTTCTTCGGTGGCTCGTCAGAAAGAGTAGGACTGCTCTTCCGTTTAGCGGCGGAGCGGGTCTGGGGTGGTTCGACATCTGTTAGGGTATTGAGGAGGCACTCGATGTGTAACCAAGACGTAGACTCTGTTTGTACAGCTGCACCGCACCTTCGTATCAGAATCTGGCGCTGCACAGTATGTAATTAAAAGTGCTTACCCCAATCAAATACGTATTTCGCTGCTCGGAGTGCAAGCCCTCGCAGCTCGCTGTTTTCATGTGCCAAACTTTCTGGTTTTGTGTCGATGAAAGCAGACAAATCCTGAAGGGCAGGAGGTAATGGTATACCAATTTGTTCGCCAGCCATAGCGGGTGACTGACGGAGTCCGAGGCTAATACAGGTCTCGTCTGTGATCACGTGACACCCTCCCATTCGGGCCAAGTACAGAGATCGATACAGGTTTCATGCGACAACTATGAGAGAGAGAAACGAAGAAAAAAAAAAAAACAACAACTCGGATACGGGAAATCGAACCCCGAGCTGCCGCGTTTTTGAATGGATCCCTCACTGTGAGAGGCGGCAATGTTAGCCATTACACCATATCCGACATGTAGTTTTATTGGAAAAAGAACACCTTAGAAAACTGGCAAGTGAAATTGTGGCCAACCACTGACTTCATGTGGATGCTTCTTGCTGAGATCATAGATCGGATATGGTGTAATGGCTAACATTGCCGCCTCTCACAGTGAGGGATCCATTCAAAAACGCGGCAGCTCGGGGTTCGATTCCCCGTATCCGAGCTATTCTTTTCTTTTTCTGCCAACTCGCAACTAGCCAAATTCGAAAGCAGTAACCTAGGCTTGTTCAAACCGCAAGCGCTTTGATACATTTTAGATTGGCTCACACTCAGCCTGACTTCACAGGTTGTGATAAAACACGTTGTAAAAAAGTATCAACACAAGTGTGTCACAGCCCACCGGGGTACTGCAACTTGTATAAAAAATGGCAGTCGTAAGAGTCCAGGTCCTGTGCGATGTTACAAGTACTGGACATAGATAGCTGATAGGTTGTCACAAATGCATTGAAAACTTAGATAAAAAGGTGAACCTGTAGGCGAGAGGCGGTTGCAGGAAACCGTCCATTGCGCATATATAATCAAAGATGATGATGATGGGAAAAGGTGAGATGAGATGCAGAGGCACCAAAACCTCGAGGAAGTCGAAACTTGAACGTCTGAACCTGATTGTTGCGCGCAATGTGAAACGGCGGAATGTTGTGATATCGTCAGCGTGCAGCCATGCGTGAGGCATCGAAGGTTTCAGCCCGAGTGATGGGTGCTCGTCCCAACCTTTTGGCTTTCATCAAGCCACCTTTGTTAGGGGGTGGACAGGGGCTCTCGCCAATATCCGTTTCCTCGTCGTCTGTCTGCGTGATGTTGCTGATCTCGGCTAAAGTCGAAAGACCATTGCGACGGGTGCGAGCGGCATTAGCAGCGGCAAACAACTGCGTAGGGCCAGCGGGAGGGGCCGTGTTTCGTTTTACCTGCTGTTGTTCGGTGATACCCGCGAGTTTGGAGCCCAAGTCTCCGTATGCGTAGGATTTAGTGCGGCCAAACTTAACTTTACGGAACTGATCTAGATCTTCTCTGCGGGAGTGCGTGTGGTTTGGATCATCCATTGTCACGTATCCCTGTGGCTGGCATCGTTCACCAGAGTGCTTGAAATATTCGCAGTAACCCCCCTCTAGAATGTAAACTTCCGGGTAGTGAATCTTCGGGTACAAATGGTTATTCATCGCGCGATCGTGAGAACGGAGATGCTTGGCACTGCAAAAAATTGCTCGAGCTCAAGTAGAAGTCAAAAAAACCAATGTCATACAATGTTGGAGCCCTCTTTGCACTAAACTCGCAGTGGAAAACGAGGACAGTCTTCTTACACGCATCTCCGCTTACACATGGCTTCGGCTTGCTGTTACGGAGGAGGAATTCCTCGACACCTTGCGGAGTGTTAATGTTGATGGCACCGGGAATGTGTCCTCCGTTATACTCGTAATCGAAGCGGCAGTCGATAATGAAATACCGCTCGATTCGGTTGTCATAGGCGCCATCCAAGAGTGCATCCACCTTAGAGTACCTTAAGTATAAATTATAATGCGAAAACATCGAAGCCTACCGTTTGCGGCGCAATGCGCATAAGACCATCTTCACGCACGCGGTGACATGGCAGAATCTTCCCGATGGTCTCATTATCGCCAAAGCCAGGCAAGCCAGCACGCATAAATTTAGCAGAAGGGCTTTCGGAACTGATCACTTGCGCAACGGGCGATATGCCCGTCAAGGGCCTAAAGTCCTCTGTACCGTCTCGCCGTCGAATGGTCTTGACCTGCTGACGCTTTGCATAGGCCTGAGCAGGCGATGACATGTCGGGTCCGTCAAAGGATGATTCATCGGAGAAATGGTCCAAGCAGGTCGGTGGGAGCATTGCGGACACAGCACGCCGAGTAAGGGGAGGAGCAACCAGAAGGCTCTGACCAGGTGAGCCGTCAGAATCCACCACAGGAGATGCAGGTGTGCCTCCACCCTCAGCAGGAAAGCCAATAGCTGAGAAAACAGGTCTGCGAAGCCTTTTATTGGCAAGCGATGGAACACCGAGGCCTTGTAAACTTGGCTTAGTAAAGTTGGTAGACGTAGGCCCGTTGCTGATCCGTTCGAATTTATGTTCGGAGGGCGAAGATGGAGGGGAAGACGAATGTCCCGCACGACTAACCACATCAGGAGAAAAAGAACGCTTCTTCTTGGGCTGGGCTCCGTCACAATGCGAAGGTGACATATTCGTGTAGAATAAATTATCAAATCCTGTGACCGTCGAGGTTGCTGATATCGGTGGGGACGGCAACAGCTCCACAGCAGGCACCGAGTCCACGTCCATCGCGTCGTCCGATACGAAAGAGACAGATACTGAAGGGGGCTAAGGAGAGTTAGCACAGAGGTTCCGGTGACCGGTCGAGATTGAAACATTTGGGACTTACCTGTGTAAACATAATGTCATCCATCGTCTTGGTGGCCTTTAGAGGTTGGGTGGAAGCAAGCCACTCGACCGGTAAAGCACTACGCTGCGTGCGCTTTGCCCCTGAATTAGTGCCGGACTTTGTGTTCAACGAAGCAGTGTCATTCAGGCAGTTGTTGCTCGCATCTTGTCCAAACATCCGGGCCCCACTGGTGAAGGCGCGCGGACGTGTAATAGGTCTACTCCCTCGTTCATTCTCCTTCTGGGCCGCTTTGGGTGGTACGGGGGAAATGTCCATGGGTTCACCGTGCATACTCTCGTGTCCGACGTCGACGTAATCGCGAGAGGGGGAGTTGAGGGACATCGTAGAAGCGAACGACAATTCGAGATCCGAGGAAACAAATTCATCGACATCGTCACGAACTTTCATTAGTTGCTGGCTGCGTTTACGCGAGGGACCGAGAGGAGCAACGAGATATCGAGAAGTGGTCGAGGAGAGCGCGGGGAAAATGGTCATGTCGTGCGATGGGTGGTTGTACTCTCGGTAATGATTTTTCTGGAATCTCTTGTTGGAATGATATTCTGTAAGTCGTTTCATGAAGGCGTCGGACATCCGTTTGAACGCGTCGTGGGCGTTATAGTCGTACAACAGGAATAATCGAGGGAATAAGTCAGTGGAGGTGGCAGGTGGTGTACAATCGTTACAGATCGACGTGACGATGTCCGAAGAGGAGGAAACAGTCAGACGTCCTGGTCTAACATGAAGTGGAACAAACGAACCAAACGTGACCGGAAGCAACTTGGCAGTTGCCGGTACGACTATACACGCAAATGGTATGTTGAAGCTGGATGAACGATGTAGTCAGTAGGTCGAACAAAAGGAGTTTGGTGTAAGGAGAGAGGTGACCATTGTTCACCCAGCACGGTTTGACACCTCATGGCTGTCGGGTAAACCGCGACCACCGCGGTCCACGTTCAACACGCATATATAAAGGGAGACTTACCCCGAGCTTAATGAATGTATGGCGGAGGAGGCCGCGCCTGGGAGTGAAGAGTAGGCAGGGTCAGCTTTTTCGAAGTCCACCAGCAGCAAAATGGTTCAAGACAATAGTCTCACGAGTATTGGACGAGAAAGGCAAGTGAACTGTGTTGTGGACAATTGTGGGTCCAACAATTACGGCCCCTTGCCAAAACGAGGTAAGCAACGCGCTTCTTTAGGCCGGCTCCCCTGACAACTCACCAGAATATATAAATCCAAGTCAAATAACGGTTTAAGATGTCTGAAAAAAACAAGAAATATATAGGAGAGACGCGTCTTCGAGACTGTTACCTGGATGTTCTGGTTGAAAACGCACTTGTTTGGACGCCCTTTGGCACAAGTTCATGTTTGTCACGTGCATTCCATGTAGAACTACGTAAGTCACGTGCTTATAATTTTTCGACGCGGAATCTACTCTAAAGCGTTTCTGGGGGGGACTGTTAGCGTTGATGCAGATAGTCCGGTACGATGTCCCTCATACCCGACATCGACTCTCACTGGTGACCTAACGTTGAACGAACGACCTTTCTATTACTGCCCAAGGAAAAACATTTGGCAGCAATGAGGCCCGTGCTACCCCTTAGACCCAACACTGTTTGGTACGTTCATTGGTTCGTGCAAGCCCACACTTGACGTCCTACTTATTCTGTCGTAGTTTTCATTACGATGACTGACCATCCTTAGTGGAGTCACAGAAAAAGACTGGGAGTCCCTTCTTCACCGGGCGAAGACGAAGTACGGCGTCAAAATCAAGGTGGTCAATTCGGTGCTTTTACACTCTCAACCTTAGTAGACGAAGAAGTCACTCTGCAACGTCATGGCTCGGATGGATCCATTGGAGATGGCTGATATGTTGCATGTGTAGCTGAATGACTTGGTTTCAACCCTGCTCTTTAGCGATAGAGCGTGCAACCTATGCAACAAAGCTCTTCCTCATTCTGCTTGCTCTCGTTAAGCAACACTGCACTGTCGAGCAAGGTGCTTCAGCTGTGCAAGTTGAGGTTGAGAGCTGGATACAAAGATGGGGAGAAGTACATAATGAGTTTCCCTGCTATCTTCTCACCCACAGAATAGTAATCATGTCATCCCTTTTTGGCGCATCATCATATTTACCTCCCATCATCAGCCCATGACACAGACCTCCACAACATTTGCAGGCAATTGGGAAGTTCTGCATGCCCTGTCACTAACATGATTTAGGCCTTTCCTGGCACACCATCCTACACGTCCGTCCCCGTGGTATCGCGAGTGTGGCTATCCATACCTGTTACCTGTAAAGGCTGACACCAGGCTCAGGAAGGTAGACCCAACTACGCTGGTGACATGAGTAGGTATTCTAGCCATGAAAATGTCAAACTCTGTTCCGGAGCTCGTGTGAGGCCACCCCGCATCTCATAACCAGAATGAATTCACTTTTTATGTTTCCAAGCACGTTACCCGAAAGTTAACATTGATTTTCCAGACCTCGACGCAGCATTGCAAATGTCTGCAGGTAAATCCAGGAAGCAAAGCCAGCAAAGAGCATTGTCAATGGGTGACGAGCCAGAGCCGAAGAATACTCCG